TTTTAAAACTAATATTTCTGTTTGTCAATCTGCCTATATTTCTATGAGTTGTATTTGATTTTCGTCCAAATGCAGTGTAAAGTTGGTAGATAATTATCTTGATATAGGAAACTGTCAACTTGAAGTTTCTTAAAAAAAAATAATTCATGTTGATTTTAAAGATACTGTAGTAAGTTTGGTTGAGTAGTTAAAATGCCAGAGTTTTTATAGTAAGATTTTATTTGAGAGAGACTGTTGTTCGCCAGTTAAGGAACACAGGTAATCTATGTTGATAATGTAAGAACATGTATAGTATTTATGCCATAATTATATTATAATTTTTCTTAGAATTGGAGTGATTTTGTAAACAATTTGATATTCATTATATCCTGTTGAACTGTATTGTACTTTCAAAGCAAATTAAGGAGGTGAAAATCTTCTTAAAAGTTATACATAGTTCAAAATTTTTAGAAAATTGAAGGGATATTTACATGGTGATTCACTCGCTGTTAGCTCCAGAGTTTTGCTAATACTGTACTGTACAATATAATGGTATCAGTAACTGCTTTTTGTGGGGAAATGAAAAGGAAACTGAGAGAAATACTTGAGAATACAACATCATAAACTTTGCTGACATCACACAAATTATTAACATGTCATAGATAACATATATACAGGTTGTACCTCTCTAGTCCAGCATTCTGTGGTCCGGAAACTCCCGTGGTTTGGAACGATTTTAGTTTGCCCAATAGGTAGATAGGCAGCTATTTTTTTTTTTTTTTTTTTACTTAAATGAATTATTATTATTATTATTACAGGAGTATTACATTTTCGCTCCTCAGGCTCCAATGTGGGTCAGTGACCTGTGCCCGGGTGGGCTAATCCCCGTAATAAAACAACAACAACAAAGCCACGGGAAATTAAGGTTTCTTTACATCCGGCAATTCGGCTCTCTCTCTCTGTTTGTCTATGCAGAGTACAACATTTAACCCTTCAATATATATGAACAGTAAATAAGTGTTGCTTTCACATTCTTATGTAGAGTAATGACGATATGTTTTCACATGTGTGCACTTACATACACGATCTCACTTTTTTTCTTTAACATTAATGGTTAGCTATACTTATATTGTTCCATTTATTAACATTAAATAACATTACTTCAAACAACCATATTAATTTTTACATTAATTTTACTACAGCTACAACCAGGGTCTTATTTTCTTGCTTTATATGTAGAACCAATCAGTCACTGGTTTTGTAAACATTAACGAAAACAATGCCGGCAGCCGTCTCGTCTCCTCATGTGTTTTAATATTCCACGAATTATTAATGAATTGTATTGTTCATTGTATTGTTAATTTAGCACACACAAACATTAATTCAAGAAAAAAATTCAGAAACATTAATTAAAACATACATGAACAGTAAAAAAGTGTTGCTTTCATATTCTTATGTAGAGTAATAACGATTTGTTTTTCACGAGTGCACTTACATACGCGCAGTCTCACTTTTTTTCTTTAACATAAATGGTTTGCTACTTTTATTGTTCTATTTATTAACGTTAGATAACATTACTTAAAACAACCATATTAATTTTTTACATTAATTTTACTACAGCTACAACCAGGGTCTTATTTTCCTGTTTTATATGTAGAACCACTCAGTCACTGGTTTTGTAATCAACGAAAACAATGCTGTCTCATTTCCTCGTGTGTTTTAATATTCTACGTATTATTAATGTATTGCACACATAAACACTAATTCAATAAAAAAAAACATTCAGTAATAAACAATAATGAATCTTTTGTACAGAAGAGAAATGACGCTGTTTACACAATTGTGCACGCCTAAACGTTGGCGGACCGCTCAAACCCGTCAAAATTTGAGTTTCCGCCGTCAAAATTTTTAGTTGTGTAGTGTTTTTATTGTGTGTCCAAATAAAAAACGTTGAATTTAAAACTCGCGAAATTTGAGAAGCTACTGTACGACATTTAACCCTTCAATATGTCTTCAAAGAGACCACAAAGCAGTGAAAGTGGTGCTAACGTAAGCACAAGTCAATATCTGTCCAGGAAAAGGGTGAATTTCCATGGTCCGGAAATTTCCATGGTCCGGCACCGGTCAGGTCCCGAGGTTGCCGGACTAGAGAGGTACAACCTGTTTTAGTAATACTGTGGGGCTAGAGTGAATCATTAACTTTGTACAGGAGGTCTTTGTTATGTGTCTTCATTGTAAGTGGTTTTGCACTTAAGTGTTCAAATAACTGTGGACCTACATGTAAAAAGTCCCTGCAGTTACGAGAATTCTAAGGCTGAGATCTGTCAATCTTTAGGAGCACAAGTGTTTGAGCGATTGAAATTCCCGCCTGCCTCCCATCCTCTTAAAGGTCATCTTTCTCACCCGCACTATACATGCTCAGTACCAGTCGTCTGTGCCCACAAGCATTATTTGAAATTGCTCCAATAACTATAATTATTATCTATGGGATGGATGTGAAATTAGAAGTTACACGTTGTAAGAAAAGTGGTGTGCATGTCTCAATGAACCACTTTTACTGAAATGAGAGTGTGGGTGCATGGTTATAGCTTGTGCCGCATCAACACGCTGACCCCAAACAACTTTTAGTACCTTAAATAAGTTGTAAAGTTAAATAATATCATAAAATAATGTTTAACATATGTTGCTAAGATATATATATATATATATATATACTGTATATATATATATATATATATATATATATATATATATATATATATATATATATATATATATATATATATATATATATATATATATATATATATATATCTATATATATATATATATATATATATATATATATATATATATATATATATATATATATATATATATATATATATACATACATACATACATACATACATACATACATATATACCCCGCTTTACGCGGTTTCACTTTCCGCGATTTCACATTTACGCGGTACCTCGCCAGAACCGGACTTTCACTTTACTTGGTGCATCTACTCATATACGCGGGAAGCGGCGCGGGCAAGATGCGCACAAGGTCGCCCAGTCATCAAAACATTACCGAGTTCTTCACCCGCCACCCACCACAGCCGGCCCAAGTCAGTGATAGTGAGGATATGGACTTATATGGACTTTGAGGGGTTTGACAAAGAGGCCCTGCAAGCCTATGTGGTGGATAGTGATACAATTGATACAAGTGATACAGGTGAGGGCCAATAATCTGCCCTCTGCCTCGGAACCAACCCCCCCCCCATCCCTGTGTGCCCAGCCATCTTTTCTACTAATGTAAGTGTTAAAAAAACTAATATTATTGATATTTCTCTTAATTATTAATTGTGTGAGCATACCATCATAAATTTAAGATGTAATTTTTACTACAACGTAGGTATTGTGTCTGAAAAAGTGGAGTTTGGGGGTCGGGTCAGTCTCTATTGGAATTAATCCCATATGTTCTGTTGTTCACTTTACACGGTTTTCACTTTCCGCGGTACCCCATGGGTTCAATTGACCGCATAAATCAGGGTACTACTGTATATATATATATACTGTGTATATATATATATATATATATATATATATATATATATATATATATATATATATATATATATATATATATATATATATATATATATATATATATATATATATATATATATATAACGGTGTTAAAAGATACCAAATTAAACTTTGAGTGTCACTTACTGTGCAATGTGATGGTCCCGATTAGACCCTATTCCTATTAATTCTTATGGGAATTAATTTCCCTTTATAAGTGGCTTTATTATCAGTAGCTTTTTTCTGGTCCCTATTAATGACTTATAATGAGGGCCCCCTGTATGATATAAAAGAAGAATGTTGCTATTTTAGCTCTCCTGTATTTATAAGTTCCTCTTTACTTGCAGTGAAATTGGAAGCCTCAGAGAAATTTATGGTACTGTATATGGTAACACCTTTTACCAAGGTTATGAACAAGGAGCCTTGGCAATAGCTACATTAATTCTTTGGTTATTATTATCCCCTTGGTGACATTTATTATTGTACTCTAACTTTGATGGGACCATTTAGGTTTTGCCTAATCCTTATTTGTTACATAGCAAAACTGAAATACTTCTTACTGTACAGTGTTTATATTGCATGTGACTGCTTATTTTTTGGTATTGAGTTATTTTCAAATGATACTATATTTACTGATGGATTTTTGTCTTTAAATTTAGATATTGAATTCAATGCATCTGTTTCCCTCAATGCTGTTACAGGACAGTTCTTCATTTTTCACTCTCCAGTTTTTAAGTTACATGTTTACTTGAGTTTTGTACAATTATTTAATGCAGTTACTGCTCTCTTGCTCTGTATATCTTATTACTATACTACTGTACTATTCTTTTTAGCTTTTCTTGTGGCACTCTTAATTATATATTCACATCTTCAAAGAGTAATAAGATATACAGTAATTGTTGTTGACTTAGTAATGATCACTCAAAGTATAAAGTACAGTACAGTATAATTACAATTTTCCTTTAGCTTTCAATGCATCTGTTTCTGAAAACTGCCAGGGAAAAGATCACTTGTCTTCAGACTAATTACAAGTAATGCATACTTTTTCTTTTTGTAACATAACCAGAATACATGTACTGTATGTATGTATGTATGTATGTATGTATGTATGTATATATATATATATATATATATATATATATATATATATATATATATATATATATATATATATATATATATATATATATATATATATATATATATATATATATATATATATATATATATATACAGTATATATATATATATATATATATATATATATATATATATATATATATATATATATATATATATATATATATATATATATATATATATATATATTGATTGATTGATTGTTTGTATCAGTTACTGAATCGAGTGCAACATATTTGGTAATAAAGTATTACTGTATATTAAATGACATTATTCATCTGCACCATTTCATTGTCCACACCAGACACCTCATGTATAAAATTTTTTTGGAGATACCCTGCAGATGGAGTGCTGCTGTCTACCACCATAAAACTTCAGCATGAACATGGGGGTATGGAAGATGTTTTCATTGACTGAACTAAACAGTCGCTGAAGGTGATGTATTCTATGTCCCCGCCAAAATTTCCAAGTTGAACAAGGGCTGTAATCATTGCAAAATTGTATGGAAAACTGAATTATACAACTTAAACATAAATATCAAGTGATATAAACATACAAACCTAACTCGATGATAATATGTTGATTGGAAGTTACTTGTGTGGTGTATGGATGGACAGAAATGGCTAGCATAATACTCCTT